TTGTTTTCTTGGCTGTCCATGGTATTCTCAGGAGTCTTCTCCAACACCAAAGTTCCAAAGCGTCAATACTCTTCCTATCCTGCATCTTTGGGAGGATATCGAGAGGATAATGCCTTTATTAGAATTGTTACAAAATGGTTTGGTAAACTGTCCGATTCTTCTTCAAACTGGGCTTTTTTAACCTAAATAGGAAGGGGGTACTTGGGTATGGTATACTTTTAATAATGCAAAACTATCAGTCCTTTGTTTTGTTGCATGAGTCACGAGCCTGTATCTATAGAATGGCATCGTAACATCTCTGCAGGAAGGGAATTGTGTACTGGTTTACTGATACACAAAACCGCCACTTGGAACCTATAAAAGAGGCTTGCAGGAAAAAAGTTACGACTATCTTAAATAAAGCACAAAGGGGAACTTCTTCATACTACCAGACTTCTGCAATTTGATGCTCTTCCGGCATGTTGGAATAAAATTCCCACCATTCCATCAGACTCCATGACCTCGCGGATTTCTTTCTGAACATGCCCTGAAAATGTAGTATGATGGGTCCTAATACGTGTTGGTGTGTTTTTTTTCTTTTCACTATGTGAGAGGATTTACTCTGATTACGGATCCTACCATAAAGCCCTTTCGAGCCTCACGCAGCCCCTCTGTGCTCTAGGTGGCGCTGTTACGCTCGCGAAACCGCTCTGGCTCGCCCGTTCCCGCCCGCGTGTTCCGGCTTCCTCCGGGAGGCGGTGCGTGTCGCTCCCGCGACCGGGGCTGGTGTTGGGCTGGATGGCGCAGAGCGATGGTAACGCGTGTCCGGGGGTATCCCGGGAGCTTCTCTCCGTGGGAGGCGGAGGAGGTAACTGGCGATGAATGGGTGCAAAGAGAGCGGCCGTAGGGCAAGGAGCGAATGTCGTTCTTCCTGATCTCGACCCTTTCCACTAACCCCGTGTTTCTCAACCTTGGCAGCGTTAAGATGGGTGGACTTCAACTCCCAGAATTCCCCAGCCAGCTCTG